GCAGTCGTGGCTTGACCACTTCTGGATTTAGGTGCCCAACACAAAAAGGGCAAGTTCCGACAAAAGTTGCCATTGCGGAATCGTCGAACGAGGAATCACAAGAATTACATGTGCTAGGCTGTTTTCTTGGAAATAGTTGTGACCTTGAGGAATGTTCTTGTAGGTTTCGACCTTTTTTCGTGGTATTTTGCTTAAGCATTGAAGTTGACTCTGCTGAGACGGTCTTCCTGTCACTTCGACAGGTAGACGGGGTTTCATCATGGCTTTTGGGTTGTATGAACTTCTTAATCAACTTCCGGCGATCATTCTTGTTGCTACTCTTGGTCGACCAGTGGGCCCGGGTCCTTCGTGCAACAAAGGCTCGTGCTGTGGCTTTGACTTTGTGACCAGCTGCAGAGCCATTATCTGGATTTACGAAGTGGAACCTACCAGCAGAAGCCATAGAATCATACAGATTTGGGTAGGGGCTCAACAAGGTTGCCTAGCTGGCCCTTGTGATCACTGTCTGGTATTTAGCTAAGGGGCCTTGTATCAGCACCCCTGAGTTGAGGTAGCCTGCCTAGTCTCGATCAGCGTATTGTGAATTCGATGCTGAGAACGCCGGATCATCCACATGGTTAAGCTCTAGAAACAAGTCGCGGTGAAAGGATCGCGGGACACAGTCGCTGAATAAGCATGTAATATCTCTCGTTGCAATTAGCTTTCTCCATAAAGAGGTTAGTGCATATGCATGAAGCTGTGTTGGATTTCGGCAGTCGTATTGGAGAATGTCAGGCGTTATGCCGATGTTGGGAATCGCTAATTGCTATGTCAGGCTGCTTGTGAATGAAAACTAGCTTGAGCGAATCATTTTGCAGTCTACTAATTTGATACATCCAGAACCACGAAACAGCTAAGTGAGAAATCTCCTCACCAGCCGGAAATAGTAGTTCAAGCTGAAAATATTGTTCTGCTGCGGATGGCATGAAGCCATGCCCATTTTGCCACCAGAGCAGTCCCTGATATTTTGGTTTCCTCTCTACCATGACATAAATAAGTTGACCACGCATCTAATGTAGAGAACCGCACATCTTCCAATGTTCTCGAGGATCTGATATGCGAAACCAATATATCCATTGCCTTAGGACTCGGTACTAAAAGGCAATAATGCATACATCACCTCCAGAGAATTCATCTCAGCAGGTTTTTGGTCGTAAATATGGGAAGGAACACGGCCAGAATGCTTTGCCGAAACAGTCACTACCTCATGCCGTCACAGCACACTGCCCAAAGAGCGAATCTTCAGTGCATCATACTAAAGTCCGCCCAGAAATCTACCGCAAGTCCAGTGAGCTTTGCCAAATATTCCCTGAAATCAAGGTTCAAGAAGCATCAGACAGGCAAATTCGGGCCCGGGGAAAGATCACACAGCACGAATGTCTTCCTGCATTGCTATCAGTAAGGGTACCTTTTCCACCAAAAAGACAAAGTGCTTATACAATCAGCGGCGTCGAGCTCAGAACCGTGAGTCGCAACGAGCATTTCGAGAGCGTAAGAACCAGCGGATAAAGAACCTCGAGATACGGCTGGCTCAATTAAATGATGAAAACGCAAATTTACAAAGCGCGTATGCTGGCCTACAATTGAATTGCACCTCACTTGAATACGGCAAAGATACGCCACCCGGTTTACGATGGAGCACCCTGAGGAAGCAGCACGGAGTAACTCAGACACTTCCGCCAGCATGCCATCTTCGTCAAAATCCTCCTCATGATTGGGAGAAGATCTGGTCCTGGTGGAACATTGAGAGCAGCCAGGTGCCTAGGTCACTGCGGGAGAACGAGGCAGACAGAGGCTGTAGATAACAATTCGAATCTGAGACAAGGTAAAATCGAATTAAAGTCAAGTTGACATGGCTCCAGATAAGTTGGAGAATCGATTCATTGATAGACATGCTGATAGAGCCACTTCGGTGACAACGTGTTGAGTCTACGAACGAATAGATAAATGTGATAGTGGGGTGATGGGCGATATTTTCGCGTATGAGCACCTGGGCACTCTCCCCCGCTCGCTAATCGCTTGCTCAAGGCGTCGAAGGTTTTCTATAGCCACTGCTTACAAGGCACACACTCACTGTACATTACCATATTATTCATCTCTGATCACTAACAAATTACTTGTAATCCTTGCACAATCTCTCGATTTCTTGCCACACCTATAAAGAGGCTCGAAACATCTCGAAGAGGTCAAAAAAGGATAGAATCGCTGAGACTGTTGCGGAATGATGAGATAAATTAAGCGCACAGAGCAGTCGTTGATCGGTCTCATGACCGCCCGGAATGACTGACTGCGGGTAATTGCGGGAGTGTGTCTGCGCTCCGAAGCCGTCCATGATCACACGCACCACTTGGCGTAATGAGGAGAATAAAAGGATTGCAACTATATTCTCATGCCCAACCACTAAATATTCTAATCTTAAATTATTTCATAACATCGCCATTGCTAATTCAAGCTCACGCCTAATTAAGCGCGCACGTAGTTGGATGGAAAACGAACAACGAGACAAAATACATGGGTCAGCCCAACATTTGCGAGAGTTTGACCTAGGAGAGGATGTCGACGCAGTCATTGGTGTGACAGCGGCGGCCCTCGTAGGAGACCAACTGATAAGGGCAACCGAAAGTAGGAAACACAAGGCCAGCCATCTCATGAAGGCTGGAGTCAGCGCCGCAGTAGCCTTAGGGGCTTTCAAGATGCTGCACCGGGAGCATGACGAGAAGCATCATAGTCAGCAACGGAAACATCCATCTAACACCGAGCATCAGGGTGGATCCATGCATCAACAAGTAGGAATAAATCGCACGGGACGCAGTCGAACGCCAAAAGACAGTCACGACAATAGCTCAAGTGAGGACCTGCCAGCAGGTCATAGGCTAGTTAGCTCGGCCGTCAGACTGAGGTCTTTCTCTCGACATCGCGAAGATGAATGGTCTGTGGCTCCCTCTTCTCAAACAAATAAAGTCCAGCAAGATCGGTTGATCGAGCCATCTTTCTCGCCTCATCGGCATCGAAGGCCGCGGTCGCTTTCGCCATACCACTAGAATTTATCAATCATCACCAAGATCATTATTGTTGTTCAATAAAGTACATAAAGCTGTGCTCAAAAATGCCATCGGGCCAAATTATTTGGTCAGCAGGGGATGACCACTATTTTCTAGTGATTATTCATCAATCCTGTTTGGTCAAAACAAGAACAGTTTCTATTTTACCTTGACTACAATATATTTGTCGATTTGGCAAGCCAATTCAAACGGTCTTTGCACTTCAGGCCATTTTCTCAAGCAGTGCTAGCCAACCATTGTACGTGATGTTGTTCTAAAAGTACTTAGTAATGTCTATATGTCAGTCGCCCGTTACATGACTGCTGCAATCAGTCTCCAAGTATATCTATGAATACCACCAGATACTTGCCGGGTATTACATAGAGACTAGGGCTTTTTATTAATGATAATCTATCATTTCATAGGTATTATACTCTAGATCAACTCCTTTACTATTCTAACAGTTTTCGTTCTCCAATCCAGAAGAAGTGCAAAGCTGCTCTCTCGATACGCTACTTCCGAACTCTCGACGCTATGAGCTGGATCTGTAGTATTATCAGTATAATAGCTACCATTTAGCTCAGCTTCTACAAGTACTCTGGCTCTACGAGCTTGAAGAGGAAGTGTCGCCACTGCCGATCAGATGAGAGATGTGCTAACTAGGATCATATATGATGCTCAGCGAGCTTGGTTGGATTCTCTAAATACAACACCACTATCATAGTCGATAAATCGAAGAACCCATGCATTAAAAGGTGCTTATCCAAGATGTAAGAAGTCGGTGTCAAGGGTCTAGTAACTTCTATAAAGATCGCTGAATTACACGCAGCAGAGCAGGGTTAAATAGTCTAATATAAGATTGAACTTGAAATTGTCAGCGGTTATTATGCTGCGGCGCTGCGATTTGTCAGTTCAGGAAGCTTCTTAGTTTATATATCCTTAGACTTGTTGCTGTGTGGTCTTGAAACGCTCCATATCTACCCGCGCCTTAGGGCCTTTGGATCGATGGTGCAATTGTACACCGGATGTCACTATGTGAAGGTCCCGTAAAAAGTTACGAATAGCCCCATAACTAACCACAACACAACAGCATTTTCTCCTCTGTCGCGGCACCTGCGTTCCACAAAATTTCACGTCCATACTTTCCCAGCACAATGACGATTCTTAGCGACTTCGAGCTCCCTACATGTGCTGCAGCGTTGCACATCCCAGGAGAAGCCACATCTGAGTTGTTTCTCGCTTTTATAGCGTCCAGTGACCCAACTACCGGTCGACCATGGTGCCCAGATGTGAGGGCGGCTCTACCTCCGCTGAAGGCCGCTTTTGCGCCGCGCTCCAGTCCCAAGGTAGCATTCGTCGAAGTTGGCCAAAAGCCAAGGTAAACCTCAATTCATGTGCATGGATAATACAGTACTGACTAGCTCGCTCCATAGTTGGAAGCGTGCCGATAACGTCTTTCGCACAAAGTGGAATGTGCATAATATCCCAACATTGGTGAGATACGAAAGTATCGCTGGCGAAACTCAAGAGACGGGGCGTTTGGTCGAAGACGAGATACTTAATGCCAGCAAACTTGATACCTTGTTACGGAGAGAGGAGTAATTCATGATGGGTATATGCTTGGAGTAGACCCGGAAAATACAACCTCGGCTGAGGAATTCATTGCTATATCGGATCTCGATCACCCTAAGATCCGAAGCATCGAAGCGTATATATACAGTGCACATCAACACTTTAGCCCACCTACAAACTGAGCTCACACTAATTTAATCATTCGAGTCGAGCGCCAAGAGCATAAACTAATTCTTTACTACTAAACCTCCTTACATGATGCCCCCCTAGGGGTGAAGATAAGTGATCTCAAGAGCATTGTCAACATTCCTTGGGTATGAGCGGTAAGGTAGCTTTTACAACCCCAAGCTACGATGATTCCTTTTTCTCAGTAGGTGTGATATCACCTGGTGTTCCCTTGGTTTCAACAACCGTACTCTCCTCCATGCCCTCATGGCTTTGCATAGCTTTGGGATGTTTCTTGCCAGTGACATCCAGGAAAATAAACTTGAACGTGTTGGCAAGTGTCTTCCGGCCTTCGAAGATCGGGAAGAGGCCCACAGCAAACAGCGAGCAGAAAATCCAGAGAATCCCGACAACAACCCATCCAGTGAAGAAACGCTTGCTGAAAATATAGCCAGTGCCGTACATAGGCATCGGCCAAAGTACAAGAAATGCGAGCCTGAGAACGGAAGTTAGTATTAGCTGGTCATAGCATCTGAGAGAACATGATGATTCTTACGTCATGACAACCGTCATTGTCTTGGAGATCTTGCCAGCTCGCTCAAGCTTTTTCTGCTCTTCCTGAAATTCTAGGACCGTCTCGACATGTCCGCCGGGGATGTTCTCAAGATCGAGATGCGCCGCGGTAGCAAGATCATGGTCATCGCCTTTGCGAATCTCCAACATCGACTTCCAGTCGTAGTTATCCTACAAGATCAACGTTAGAACGCAATTGTGTATCAATGACTTCATGCAGGAACACTTACCACTCCAAAGATCAAAGTGAAAATTGGGATCAGAACAAGAGGAGACAACAGCGCCACAACATTACCCGCCAGCATGGGGTTGTTTGAGCCGGTGCATGCTACATTCAAGCTGCCGCAGTCTTTCTTAGCTGTCACTAGCCAAGCAATGACCGCGAAAATGAGACCGAAGATGCATGAAAGAGACGCCTGTGTTCATATTAGTGCTGAGAAATCTAGAATGTCACACATATGATTTTACTCACGGCATATTTGTTCTGGCCCTTCCACGTGAGAGCCAGCGTAGCGGGCAACACAGCTGCCGAGATAATGACACCCATCATGACATAGAGATAGCCCATGCTGATACCAGCGTACCACAATCCAACGGAAAACGAGGCGATGAAAAGCGCATATCCAACGACAATGCAATGACTCATCCAGATGAGACGCTTGCCGCTCGCATCGGGCTTGAAATAGGTCCGGTATAAATCGTAGGTGAAGATGGATGATACAGCAATCAGCTCTGATGAAGTTGCAGAGGTGACAGCCATGAAGACAATCAGGAGTGTAGCTATCGCACCGCCTTTGCCGAGCAGCGCGACAGCTGCGTAAGGAAGGACCAGGCCGGCAGAAACATCGGCATCAGCCATCCTGTCAGGGTAGGTAGGGAATCGAGGATTTGATTCCAGAGCAAGTGCCGACAGGCCCATGGTGGTAGCTGTCAACCATGGGATAGCAAACCAAGATAGACCACCAATGATATATCCCGGAAGAGCATGCACGGGCGATGCAGCGATGGCTTTGTTATAATATCCGTTGTCAAGAAACACTGTGCCGAAGTTGCCGACAATGTTGATCACGAAGAAAATAGCGCCCTCACGCGAGCGCATTGTGAGGTAGCTACCATCTTTGTTACCCTCAACAGGATGCGTCGAGGCAGCTTTGACAAGCAGGTCATACACAGCTCCAGGTGAACCAAGAACGTCGGAGCTTGCATATGCAGTAAGCGAAAAGATGATGATGATAATCAGCAAGATGAAGGTGTGGATCCAGTCTGTCAGGATTGTGGCTTTCAAACCACCAACAAGAGTGTAGGCGACGACACCGACCGGAAGAAGGTAGATAGCGGCGATGGTGTGCATACCAGTCAGCGCGGAGACGGTTGCGCTACCGCCCACAATCAACATGAGCGACACTAAGATGTTGGTGACCAAGCCAAACACCATAAAGGTGATATGAGGGAGAGTGCCATATCGAGCCTTGATGACCTCCAGGAAAGTATGCGCGTTAGGGGCGCGTCGCTTTAGCTCAATGGCCAGAGTAGCGAAGAGCAGAATCTGAACAGTTGCGCCAGAGGCATACCAGAAGGGGCCGGAAACACCATATCGGTAGCATACACCGGTAGATTGAAGAAGGGTGGCGGCCCAGGTCCAAGACGACACGACTGCGGAGCCTACGAGACCAGACTTGACGGTTCGACCAGCGGTATTGAACATTTCAGAGGTCTGGAGCTCGGCATTGTATCGTCGGAGGATGAAAGTGACAAGAATCATACCTCCAGAGTGCGTTAGCTGGCAGAATATTGAAAAGTTGCAAAGTTACACAAGCTACTCACCAAGGGCAAAGGCAAAGCCCAGGCCGACGACTATGCCATAACCGGCTCCTTGGTCGAGGGCTGTCTCGACCATGATGCAGAGCTGTAGTGCGGTCTCTCCAACGTCTTCAAGTCCTCAAAAGTTGATCCAAGTTGTTGTGGAAAGGCAGTAGAAGAGAGAAGAGGGGAGTGAAGTCTGTATCACCAAGTGTGCAGAAGAAGATGATCAACCCGAGGGGCATGTAGTCCGAGGTTTATATCTACCATGCTGTCATGCCGATCGAGATACGGCAATCTGGGACATGTTGACACCAGCAAATCAGATGTCATGGAGCTAAAGAGAGCTCCCCCTGCTGCTGTGTCCCACTGCTCCCCAAGATCAGGTTGACAGGGTTTCATTAGTGGAGGCATGTCCGCACTGGTCAGTGAGCAGATACAGATGGCATCCCCCACTCAACGTCGAGCAGAATGTGGGCGGCATCTTGGCGACAGCGCAGATATTTTGCTAGGACCGTACATGAACATACATAGCAGCGGCTAGTCCGTAGGGCCTACGGGGCATGAAAAATGAAGGAGGCCCCGTGTTCGGCTCGTCTTGACACAATTTGCGATATCATAGTGCCAAAGAGGATGGTTTTCGGGCAGATGATTCGCCCAAGGGCCTGAAGCTTGGGTGATGAACGGATGCGGTTTAGGCCTGAAACCCGACTACCGGCGCCATGAGGGACCAAGATGCAGGTCAGAGATAAGGCGAAATAACCATCTGTCATAGGTTTTAGGGCGACGGTCTTCCCGTCTCGGCTGCTGGTGCCGCGCCAGGCCAATAGGTCTCCTGGGCGGTACGCCTCGCGAGTAACCCCAGGCATGTCTTGGACACGTCCAGATTCAAGCCTCAACTCGAGATTTTGTGCCAAATGCAGCCTCGAGTCTGCGCCGGTGGCCCGGCTGAAAGCTCCCCACTCAAGCCGACGAATTGTTTGCATCGCCGGCGGCCTGCCTAGACTGTGCCGGCGAGACAAGGTCTGGTGTCGGGCTGCATGGCTTTGCAGCCACCTGTAAAAGATAGGATCTTCTCAGTGCATACCTCTCGATGGGTTGGGGGTCAACACTTCGAGGCTTTACGGCACCTGTTTTGACCAACCTTGGTAATCTGTTAACACTTTAGGCTCGAGAATCCTTGGCTCGTAGGTAGTAATTTCACTCGATATCGATAACAGGGCACTTCCTCCCAAAGAAAAACGGCACGCTTGGCGGTTCGCAAGGAGCGTTGTAACCTGCCCAGGTGTTCAGCCCTTTCACTAAAGTCCTCTTACCATACGTCTTACTCGATAGAATTGACGAATCACCACGAGCTGTGGCTGCGAAACGGCCATTAGAGGCTGTAGATAAGAGCCTGGCAAACTCGTGCATTAGCGGCTTGTGACCAGCTGCGGGAATATTTTGAGATCCATTCATTGAAGTCATTCTCCAGCTTCTGACTGGAAGATAAGTGCGGAGGGCTTTCAAGGTTGCTTCGCTCCACCACGATCGGTGCAATCCGCGTCCCTCCAGGCCCAGAAAGGCAAAGCCCCCAGAGATAACGGGTCCCTTATGGGCAGCAGCTATGACCAATTGCAAGGAACATCTCCGCGTGGGATCTACATAAGGCTATCAATTGTGTTCACGCTCTGTAATGACAACACGAAAGCCACTCGCTCACTGATGACTGCATGCCGTGAGTCGGCCATTGGCGGCGGCACCTCCTCCATACCACAGCCCTGCCGGCGGGCCGCCGCTAAACATAAGGGCAGGTTATCGATGTCCACGGCCCTGCGCTCGGTCGTTGTTATTCCTGGCACCGACGGCAGAACAAAATTTTCATGCTCCAACCGTCAAAAATTTTCGCTCTTGTCTCGTCAGATGCGGAATTGACTCCAGTATGTCGTCTCTCTTCCATCTGCGCGTTTCACACCGGGGTCTCGTTGAAAGCATGTCGCCTTGCTTGTGCGCGGGCAGGAGAAATTGTAGGTCAATGCTCATAATCGGAGAGCCGACGGCAACAGATGACAGTACTAACCTTAGCACATAACGTTGAAAAAAAAAAAAAGAAAATGCCATCCAGGGGACTCTACACAATATTTGCCATCTTATGTCAATGTGTGATAGTATCATCATGACTATAACAGCTGAGGGCCAAAACTTTTCCAGACTCAACGACGGAAGCGAGGGTTGTCGTCACATCCCACAAACACTACCGTTCATGTTGACTGTGACCGACTTGAGTACATCCTCAGACGTTGCGAAGTTGAGAAACAGTCAGCTCTTCACATTGGTACTGACATTGGTGTATACTCCCTTTTAAATGAATGATTGAAAGCTTTTAGGAGGGTTAGTATTGCATGAAGAGAATGTCAGTGGTGTATGTTGTCATGTTGTAGAGTTGCGTTCGTGAAAGTAAGAGTTGGTGAAATAATCGAGTATATAAAGCGTCGTTCCGTCTTTCATGAGTAGTTGGGCCAATACAAAGCCAAGGTCCAAATAAATGATTGTTCTCCAGCCAGGTTGAACTGCTAGGACATCATCACAACTGACTGATACTAAGTCTCTCCACGGTAGAGGTTGAATTCTCCAGCGGTGCTTAACATTTGTTGCCAGCTCTGGCGTATCGTTCTTGGCTCTCAAGAAAAACTCCGCTCAACATTGACTTAAGTGCGACGTATTGTACTAGAAGGGACGTGGTGTATGTTCAATTGACGACAACAAATATGGCGTAGTTACACAAGTTGTTCCAAACACAACTTGCCCCTAGAGTGATCCTCATGATTGCTGTTTTGAAAAAGGAGAAATTCCGAGCTGATGCACAAGACTAAAGACAGATACAGATAACTGATTCAACCTCTGTAGTACGGCTCCTTTCCCTCTTCGAAGTAATGCGACATCTCAGTACCAGAATTGAAATAGCCACATCTAGCATAGAATGGCTCATTCTTTGCACCACAATTGAGAATGTTCTTATAACAACCCGTGTTCATGGCAATGGAGTCAAGTGCTTTGATCATCAGCTTTCCAAAGCCCTGCCCTTGAAATTCCTTGGCGATAGATATTTCTTCTACGTGACCAACCAACCCCCGATTATGAATGCTGAAGAGGTCGTTAAACGTTATGAATGGAGATCATTAGGTGATGTTCGAGTGATACTAACAATTTTTTCTCGACAATCAACGAACCTGTGCCTACGATCCGGTTCTCATGCTCAATTACGAGTAGGTAGTAAGGGCCTTTCCCTCCCGTATCCATTTCGTCATAGCGCTCGTTAAACTCTTCTTCCGTGATCTCCCCACACCATGTCAACACTCTTAGGCAGTCGAGGTAGCCTCTGGAGTAGTCTAGCTTCTCGAGAGGCCGGATTGTGTACCCATCTGGAAAGGAAGTGATCACCTCAGGCGAGATCAGAGAAGTATGGAAGAGGTACTGGCTTGTCACCATATTGCGCACTAGAGGGCATATAGTCGCCTTGTTTCAAGTGTCTTTAGATGGCCTTGCTCCAATTGTTCGGTAGTTGTTGTTGCGGTGTGGCAATGGCGGATGCTTAGTGGGCCAATCTCCGACTTCGGATGTGTACCTGGTTAGAGTTTACGTGGCTTTTTCAAATTTGGTTGAACAACTCAAGTTGTTCAATGCTAGCCTTCGAGATCCATATTCGATAACATGGAATTTCATGAACTCTTCCATTTCCTCATTTCACGATTATGTATGGGGCGTAGAAAGAGATATTTCTTGCCAAATAAATACGATGTAGTCTTTAATTTGTTTATTTATTGATTATTATTTATTTGTTTTTTTCTCTTTGCTTTTTTCGAGACTAACATATGCCTGGTCTATTTGATGATAGATGCGTTGTATTTAGTTGATCTGGAGTTCACAACTGTTGAAGATATGTCTTAGCTCAGGGGGCTTCATGGTGATATCGAGGTCTCTCTACCGTATACCATTAAATCAGAGCAGACTTTCTCTCGGAGTCTGTTTCGATACAAGTCATTTTCGAACTTGATATAGGGGATGTCATCTACGGTGGTCTTACATTCGAAGTACTTCTTTAGCTAGAATGCATCAATGTAACAGCTTCCGTCAAGACATGGTGTGAACGGCCCATATGAAGATCTCAGAAGCTCCCTTTCGACATAGTCATGGCAAGATTCATACTGTGGCCTCGCCCGTCATCTGACATCTATATGTACTCTGGGTGCCGGATTATGTTTGCCTTACGAGGTGCACCAAGGATACTTGGGTAGCTAGATCGAAAAGACCAAGTTCCAGCTCCAAATTCAGGCTAGGTGCCTGCTCGCTGGTCTACGACTCATAATAACCCGTTTGTGCAGACGATTGCCATTCAATCCACCTGAGCCGCTGATTTGCCAGACGCCGATCAAGTCGCGTTGTGAAGGCATAGACATTGTGAACATGTCTGATACCCCGTTGCGGAGTCGCTCAAGACATCGTTCCCTTGCGAAATACGCTCGTGGCAGATATCTGATAGGTACTCGCATAGCTCTATTCATCTTGAGCCAACAAGAAACCAAGGTTTGGTTGAATCTATGAACTTTCACGGGATGTCGCTGAGAGGAAGCCTCCCTCGATATTGGCTTTGCTCATGTACGCAGGCAGTCCGTCAGTCAGACGAGACAGTGGCGTGAGGGGCATGTAAGAAAGCGGGGGAATCAACCCCAATTCAAGGCCCGAGTTTCCCCTCACTCACTGTGTGGAGTCTAGTCCAGCCCGCCCACTGGCCTACTGGAGATGGGCACTGTCATGACTTTCCCATCCGACCATTCAGCAGCTGTCCTCGCCACGCTAATCCATGCCCCAGCCTGTGGTCGAGCGATTCAGGAGAGGACCGGCCATCCTTGGCTTCCCCATGGGCACCGTCTACTCAGCACTGCACAGGGCAGGGAGGCAGGGCAGGGCAGGGCAGGACAGCCCACGGCTCTGCACAGGACACCCTGTGACTGTGCCTATAACTAAGACTAAGACTGGGACCAATGGGACCAGGACAGGCCAGGTTCACGAATTGGCACGGAGTGATGGTGAGGAACAATAATCCGATGGCGCGGGGGGGCGGATGGGGCCCATCTTGTCGTATCGTAGCTAGGGACGAGGAAGCCAAACTGTGGGGATCGTCACCACGTAGTAATCCTTCCCTGTTGTTCTTCCCAGTTCGCTGCTCACCAGACCAGATACGGTGCCTGCTTGATGCCTCATCGCCTTACTGCCTTTGCTTTTGCTGCGTGACGAGCCCGTGGTAGAAACAAGAGCGAGCGCTCAGATTAACACTGCAACTCCCGACCACTACAACCGGTTCCCGGGGGCGTCCAAGCAGACACAACGTTCCTTCATCTCTCCCATGCCCTCGAGAGAAGGAGACTTGCCTCCCCCTGGGAGACCATCTTCGGCCGAAAAGGACGGCAGCCCGGCAGCCCAACAGCAGCCCAAACGGCCACAGAAGAAGCGAGTCCGCAACTTCACGGCGAACGATCGCGCTGCACATGCAGTCTTTGAGAAGTCACGCCGTGAGGCTTTCAAGGAGCGTCTACTCGTGAGTTATCCTTCCCCTCCAAGGCTCGGGAAGCCGTCGAACTCATTCGGTCGCTTAGGAGTTGGCTCGACTGCTCCCGACAGTGGCCGAGACAGATCCCAGCCGCCTCTCAAAACATGTCGTTCTTGAGGAGAGCATTGCCCGACACAAAATACAAGACACACGGTGTCTTGCTGCATTTCAACATATACAGGCTCTGACACAGGAGCGAGATGAGCTGCTAGCAGAGGTCAATGAGTGGCGAGCCCGCTGTGGCGGCGGCTTTCTCTCTCCAAGGCAAGCCGTCGTCAGCAATGACACGATCTCAGACCTACTCGCCTCAGACGCCGATCAATCACATGCTCAACGCGCACAATCAACATCTGGCCAAAGTGCTACAGATGCAGAACAGGAGGTCGATTTGACTTCAATCCCCGCAGATAATCACGGTTCTTTTTTTGAATCAGGTGCTATGCCAGAGCCTACTTTACACCCCATCAACAATATCATGGTCCCACAGCCCCCGCCGTGGGCAGAGTCGCTGGATACGATCTCTACCAGCCATGAGCCGTTCGACGACCTCGCCGCCCAGGTTCCAGAATCTTTCGTAGACTCTGCCGGACCTATTCAGGAACCGTCAATCTTTTCAGACCCAGAACACCATTCCTCTTTACCAGATTTAACAGTGGGCTTACTACCACATGATGACCTGTTCGCCAATTCGGTTCCTCCAGGCATTTCGGATCCTTCCAATTTCATTCCAGCGATGAGTTCAATGAATCACATGGCACCGAATGCCGAATTCCTTTACCACTAATTTCGGTCTATTGTTCAAGTCTATGCTCAAGGCTCCAAACGAACTAATAAGCTCAATCCAAGGATTAGAAGTTACCATGGCTCTATCAGCTCATAGAGTCTTCAGAACCGCTTCCACCTTTGCCTTGCTCCTCTCCTCACCGCCAGTGAATAGCTCGAGCGCATCCTTGAGGCGAGTCGTCGCAATAGGGTCCTTGGCAATGGCCTTTGCCAGCTCCTCTCCGCCATTTGCAAGGTAGTCGATGTCTGTGCTCGCGAGCTTGCCATCCCAGTCAGCAGCTGCCAAAGGATCGATCTTGGCCAACTTCTGCAGACGCGCCGGCGTCGGCCCGGCATGCTTGTATACGTGGACCGGCTTAGGCACACCCTCTCCCGGCTGCTTGGACCCGTCATACTGAAGTTTAGCGAGCTCGTTCAGAACCGTGTGGGAAATGGTGGCGGAGTGGCAGCCCAGCTCGCCGGCAGCCATTGCTTCCTTGGCGGTAATGAAACTGGCGTTCTTCAACAGCGGCTGCTCCTTGCCTGTCTCCTTGTACAGCTTCTTGTATGTTTCGAGGATCTGCACAATGCGTGCCGACATGGGATGCTGCGTAGCCGGATCCTCGACGTCAGGCCATAGCTTCAGTTCATCATGTGCTCGAGTCTCTGTGTTGGCCGTCAGCAACAGGCTATTCGATATCGTAGGGACTTGGCCAAAGCCTGTACTTACCGTTGAAGTAAGGGCTGATGTACAGCATGCCGGCCTGGCTGCATGCAATTGCCTGGGGCAGTCCAAATAAAGCAGTTCCTAGTGTTGGGATACCCTCTGCGGAAAGGATCTTCGCAGCGTTAAGCGCCGGTCCGGTGCTGGGGATCTTGATGCAGAAACGATCGCGGCTGATACCGGCTCGTGCAAACTCTTGATCGTACAGACGGGCATGGTCGAGCGTGGCTTGAGTGTCATATGCCTTGGAGGGCAGGGTTTGGAGGAGGACGCGGCCACTGATCATATCGATGTTCTTCTTACACATGAGGACGGCCTTTACGAGTTTGGATCAATAATCGAGTTTTGACGTGGTGCTGGGTTCGATTTTCAGAGGCTTACCATGCGGGTATAAATGGCGAGCCATCCCTTGTCCTTCAGCTCTTTGGCTGTCTGTGCAAGGAGGTCCTTGTTGGACTCGTCACCAAGTTGGATGTCCACCCAGAGCTGGTTTGAGGTTTGGTCGTGGAATTTGAAAGGTTGCATGCTCTTGATATATTCGGGGTCCATCCAGTCGACATCGACATTCACTAAAGGCTGTCAATCTGGCGTCCGGGGTATCGTAAGCAGCCACAATCGCTCAAAACTCACATTGCTCCTCGAGCTTGTCGAGCCAAGTGACGGGGTTGTTGCTGCCCATGGTGTATGATGGTATTGGATATGTATGATGGTATTGGATAATCTTGCCAAGCTCACTGTGCCTGCTTCAAAGTTCTTGGTTGTATTGAGATGAGTGAGATGTTGGTCTTGTGCTTCTCCTTCTAGATGATGTGATATATTCTGCTCTGGTAGCTCCTTATAACTACAAATTGGACTTTCGTTCTCGACTATGAGCCACGCAGGTCCTAGGGAATCACAAACCCGCTGTCTCCGCAAAGGAGATGCTAGCACTGCGTGTTCCATACCCCACTCTCCTGTCAGTCGCGCCGTGAGACCCCTCAGAGGTTCACGGGCGTCCGTACAGCCAACTACGTGTTCCAACCAAAGTCGCCAATGTTTATCGTGGAAAAGAGGTGCATCTCTATGGGCCACGGGAATAGCAGCCCCTCACGGCTCATCGTCGCCCTAGCCTCCAAGACGTTCGAACCCCCTGTCATCCGGGTGGAATGGCAACACGCAGGGCACCTGGAACACGCAGGGAATTAGCCCCGCCCCTGTTCCATTCGGCGTCGGACCTGCACAGGGCGACAAGACGTCATTGGTGAAGTTGAATCGGTAGTCACTGAGCCGGGGGTCGGCTCCAAGCCGCCGTCTACTGCTGTAATTGGTTCATGAACCCGCCGAGGACGGTACAGTGTGCGGCTGCTGTTCCTCTCACTGTAAGTCCTGCACAGGGCAGATCCGGGGAATGCCTGCGCATAACCCAGTGGCCATAATTTCCCCAGGCCGCGTGCAACCAGTTGGGGCATCGCCCCCACAGGACCAGCAGTGCTTGAGTGTCTACTGCCTGAGGGCCTACTACTCCCCAGGGCAATAATTGTTTATTACCCAAGGGTGAGGATACTGGAGGACGAGAGCCATAATATCATTTAGGCGTCAAAGGGGATGCTCGTTACCATAGTTCCAGTTCTTACCATGGCAGTGGCCTCTTGCTGACAAGTTACACATGGCCCTTGCCAAACTCACGTTTATTACCCTGGTGGAGGACTGGAGGAGTATGACCTAGCGGGCTAAAGAGTGCCAGGTGGGCCTAACACAGGACACACGCAGAGCAGTCTGTACCATGCAGTAGTCTAGTCAGCACTGTTTCGCAATACCGTGACCGTAGCGAGCTGTGGCTTGGACAGGGAGTGTAAGACGAACTCAGCCAGTCATCAAGCTACTCTGAGGGGCCCCATGGGGGGAGGTGGAGACAAGTCCAACTTCCAGCAAAAGTTAACCTGGCTCTTAGCATCAACATTGGCATCGGAACCCATGGAATGGCTAACGGATTTGGGCATGGCCATGATCGTCATCCCGAAATGGCTGCGAGAATTGCCAGTCTGGCGCGACGAGGCCACAAGTATATAATCATCATCGCATCCTTCGCAATGGTCAACGAGCCGTACTCGACCGACACTTCAAGATCGTCCAAACCCATCTTCAACAGCCTTGTGAATTCAAGCATCTCTGACAATCATGTCTCAACACGACATTGACGCAATAAAAGATGGTCTCAAAGTTGACCAGGTTGAGCATACAGGAGCGGATTACTCTCGGAATGTCAATGCCAAGTAGGTTGTCTACGGTCCGTGAATATACACTCCACGCTAAGCATCATTATTTAGGATTCGCAATCCCCTCCTTGGCATTGACAAGCAACAACTCAAAGCCAACACCGCTAGATTTTGTACCGAACATGGCTTCGTTGATAAAGAAGATGTCTTCTTCAGAGGAGCTTTAGCTGCTCAGAATCCAGATGCGTATGATGACATCCCGGAGCTGACCGCAGACGACAAAAACTATCTCAGACGTGAGGTCACCCATAAGTGGCATCTCCCAAAGCCGCTGTACTATAGTATTGCCCTTTGCTCGCTCGGTTCTGCCATCCAGGGATGGGACAACACGGGTGCCAACGGCGCCAATCTGTCGTTTCCCCAAGAGTTTGGCATTGCAGACAATACGTGGCTGGTGGGAGTCATCAATGCTGGTCCAACACTATTCGGTCTTCTCAGCGCGTGGGCCGCGGATCCTATCAACAATTATTTCGGTCGACGGGGCACAATCTTTATCACCGGCTTGTTTTGTATCTTCCCAGTGCTGGCTCAAGCTTTTACCCAGAACTGGTGGGGTTTGATGATCTGTCGTCTCTTTATGGGCCTCGGGATGGGTATCAAGATCTCCACTATCCCAGTTTTCTCTGCTGAAGTTGCTCCTGCTTCCATTCGTGGTGGCCTTGTGACCAGTTTTCAACTCTGGGTTGCCTTTGGCATCTTCATTGGCTTCTGCTCAAATCTCGTCTTCTACCGGATTGGTGATCTCGCTTGGCGGTTTCAGCTCGCAGCTGCATTTGCACCGGCGATTCCAGTAGTAATATTCGTGTGGTTCTGTCCTGGTAGGTGCATCTCAAATATCTCCCGAGGGCGTCTTCTCTGTCCATGCTAACTCTCACGTTAAGAGTCTCCGCGGTGGCTGATGAAGAAAGGCCGGTATCAAGAAGCTTTCACCTCCTTTTGTAGAATTCGAAACACAGAGATGCAAGCCGCAAGAGATCTCTACTATGCTCATTGCCAGGTTCTTGAGGAACGTGATGCGTTCGCCGGCGTAAGTCTCGGCCGACGAGCTTGGGAACTACTTTCGGTGCCGCGTCTCAGGCGTGCAACACTCGCAAGTTCCTGGATTGTAATTTCGCAGCAATTTTCTGGGATTAATATCATGCAAGTATTCCCCTTTTCTGCTTATTCTCATTTTCCAAAACGTTCGGTGAAGAGCGGCGGTTCGGCCGCCCTAAACAGGACTGTCCGTTGATTATACGGGCAAAGTTGCCATCAAATGAATACCCATCATGACTGATTACCAGCAATAAACTTCAATTTAGCACTAAGTTGTGTTAAAGGCTTCATTGTAATCGAAATTTGTTGAACTTGAGAGCTCTTAGCTAACATTCATTCAGGTCTTTCTACTCATCGACGATTTTCTCTGAAGCCGGTTATTCGACAAAGGACTGCCTCCTTGCCTCAATGGGATTCGGCCTAATTATGTTCGTATTTGCATTCCCGGCAATTTGGACAATGGATACCTATGGCCGTCGAAATCTGTTGCTTTTGACGTTCCCAAATATGGCCTGGTGTCTTCTGGCTGCCGGGTTGTCTTTCTTGATGCCAGAGGATTCAAGCGCAAGAGTTCCACTGATTGCATTCTTCATTTACCTTTTCACTGCCCTCTATGGTCCTGGTACGTAATTCATCATGATTGTTGGTTTCTGTGAGAAAACTAACTCTGGACGACAGGTATTGGTCCAATGCCCTCGATCTACTTCTCGGAAGCCTTCCCACTGTCCCACCGCGAAATTGGCGCTGCCTTTACCATCTGCATAAACAATTCAGTTGGGAGCGCACTTAGCTTGACATTTCCCTCCCTTTTAGCTCGATTAGGTGCAACTGGTGCCTTTGGATTCTATGCAGGACTCAATATCGTGGCATTTATCGTCATCTTCTTCATTGTTCCGGAGACTAAGTACGATATGCATTTCTATCTCACATATAACTCCAGCTAACAACACTGCTTATAGGCAACACACTCTTGAAGAGCTTGACTATATCTTCGGGGTTCCGTCACGCCGTCATGTGGCTTATCAAGTCCGCGTGTGGCTCCCCTGGTGGATTAAGAGATATATATTCTTCCAGCGTGATGCGAAGCTGGAGCCGCTCTATCATCTTGAGGGATCGTCTAGTCCTCATTCTTAGATGATACTTGGCTGTTGATCAGCGTGTTTATCAATCTCCCCTCGTAAGCACTATTTGGAGCCGTCTAGCCTTGAACTGTTATTTTTGTATCAAACACTATTTTTATAACAAGCACAATCACCCATAACTCAAGTATCCTGCCAGAATCTGGTCTTCTGTAGATAGGTGATCACCAACTGGTAACCACAAAACATTGTCTGTCTCATGTTGGTACAAGAAGCAAACGATTTGCTAGTAAAGGTTGTTAAGTTACTACGTAAGTCACTAAGTGCTCAAACGCATATGCACGAAGCCATGTGCTGTTAGGTGGTATATTTACAGCAGTCACTGCTCCCAAACAGTGTTCTCTGCCAAGTATGCCATAAGTCCCTCCAAATCAGGCGTAGTAATATCGTTCCATATGCTATCACCTGGCGCTAGCTTTTGTGAGACTAATCCTTCAAGCATCTCAACCCCTCTTCGACTACTGAAATCAAAATTCATTTGCTTGAGGGCTTCTATGGTATCTTGAAGTAAAGATAGCGATGCAGGATCAACGATTCCACAAGTCTTCTGACTGTAGACCCAGTCTAGATAAATAACTATAGCGGCACCGACCGTAAATGTCGGTATAATCCAGAGCTTTGCCACATCTGTATTTTTGACTCGATGAAACTCGTTCAAAATCGTCATTGCTGCAGATACGCATGTTCGTCGAGTGAAACCGTACGTCTCCGGGTCCTGGAAACTTTTGATCAAGAACGATCGATGAATCAAGATGATCTGCAGTTGCTTGTTAGAATATCAGAGATTGGAGTTCACCCAGAACACCAACTACCTTATCAGCAGCACTTATTGTGAGCGCAGTGCGTGCCCACGGTACCCATGCTGGCCACTCCCGATTCTCCGGGGTCTCAGGCTTCAGAAATGCTGGCAATTCCGAGACCAGTTGTCTCATCATTGAATCGATGTATTGTACATGTCGATACTGTGATTCTCGCGTCGACGTTGGAGACCGAAGCCCGTCAATGAGCATAGGCATGAGCATCGCCACTGCGTCATAACGAAGTATTAGTGCCTGCTATCAGCGATAGGGATCAACAGTACTGACTTTTTGCGAGGGCTATACAATACGATGTCGTCGTTGGCACTTCAATTGATCTCTCAATCATGTCCTCGTCGTGGCAATTGGTTGGCAAGGGAGTTGTGAAGTGATTGGGACTGACACCTGAGTAATTTAAGTTGGCTGTGGAATATAACGTTGACTGATTTCATG